CGCTCCGCACCGCTCCGCACCGCGCCGGCACTGCGCGGCCGGCCCCGGGCGAGGATGGGAGGAGGATGGACGTGGCCCGGCTCCTCCGGGAGATCAGGGCGGCGAGGGAGACGCTCCTCACCGGCGATCAGATAAAGAGCATCATCTCGGCGAGGCCGCGGGCAGTGCCCGCACCGAGCGCAGCCCTGCCCGAGTAAGGCGACGGTCCCTGTCCGTCCGGCTCCTCCCTCAGCCTCCGAGAGGTACGGTTATTTCCTTTGCGATGCAGCATATTAACTGGGGAAGGGCTTTGGATTTTACTGCAGTAAGAGGAGAACTAGAGGATACGGAAATAGATTTTGCCCAGGGTATGAAATCCACACTAAAGGAATGCTGTGTAATTCATCTGGATGTTTTTTCCTCTTCCTGCAACACTGATGTTGTTGTGATTTTAAAAAAAAAAAAATGATGACAGATGCTGTAACACGGTAACCTCTAGCACCATTCAGTTCTCCCAGAGGAAAAGAGAATCCTGAAAATCAAAGGCGATGTAAAGAATCCATTCAGATACAGAAAGCTTTACTATTTTTAGCACCTGTACTAAACCGTACCTTTTCAGCCGCTATTTTATATTGTTCACAGTAAAACTGTGTTATACTCTTCAGCAAATATAATTTGTTCTTTCATACAGATTGATTAAATGTTATCAACACCCGATGCTACCATCATCGATTCACATATCAAACATCTCTAAACCCGACTGAACTTTGAAATAAAATGGCAAAACAATCTTCGGCCATCAAATGTCAAGAAATTCAGGAGGAAAATTAGGTATTCTGTCACCTTGTACTTCTTAGGTATTGCAGAAATTTGGGAGGTTTATTTTAACCACAGGCCAGACGACTGCTGCAATCTGGCTGATCTACACAGTGATTCCGTGACACACGGCAGCTATGAACTAGATAGTTAAGCCAAGTTTATATTTGTGTTTGGCACAAAGCAGCCAGTGGATATGGACATAATCCTGTCACACAAATTCTGCAGTACCCAGGCAAAAAAGGGTTAGCGAAGAACATTGAGTGTTCGCTTGTGGATTAGCCAGATCTGGATTTTTTTCCACCACAGCAATGGCACGGTAAAATTCTCACAGGTCGGTATGTTACGGGGGGAAAAAAGAAACTTATTTTACTTGCTTCATAAGAGCTGAATTGAAAAGTTAGTTTTCTTAAAGTTGATGGCATCAGAAGAACCTACATAAAGCAGTAAAATATGCAAAAGGGCATGTATGGTTTCAAGTGCCATCTTGGCTTATGGCCACTTGCAGTAAAACTCAAGAGTCAAAAAGGGAAAACAACTTGCATGAGCAAAACAATCACTCGGGAATTAAATGCATGAACATATTATCTAAGTCAAAGATGAGCCCAAATCTCAAATGACCTCCCACGCTCTCAGGATTGGCTTAAAAAACCTTCTTTTAATAGGATAAAGAAAAGCAAACGCCCACATTTTCTTGCAAACACAATATGGTGTTTGACTAATTTTTTTTTTTTTCTAAGAATAAGCTTCAGGGCGGCACATTATGTCAAATAATATTTTTAGATAATATTTTAGATCAGGATTAAGCTTCCAACAGGCATGTCACTACTGAGTTGTCACATTTAATATGGGTGGCAGCATGTACTTGGGAGAACATGCCAATTTTTTTGTTCCTATAATAAGTAAATCTTAAATAACCTGTCCTTAGAGGACAAGGAAAAAGTTCTAGATGCGAATGAAGATGCTATTCGTATTTAAATGAATTGGGGTACTTGCTCTCGAACGACAAGGTGAAACCTAGTCGGTGACTAGACGAGGCAAAACCTTAATTACAGTAATTGTCAACTGGGATATATTCACGCAGCCTCGCAGAAGGGCTCCCTCTCTATACAGCTGTTCTTAGAAATCAAAAATACATTAAAACCAAAGAACCTTAATCAAACAAGGAACTTCGAACTGACTGCAATGCCTCTAATTTCCATGAAGTTAAGACAACCTACTTTGGAGGTAAGGTCTCAATAAAACTCATTAATTTATAGGGGAATTCCTCTACAAGTATGCTGGGGATAAGGATGCAGCCAACTACTTCCCATCAGCAGGGTAAGGGCTTCCCATCTACACGGTACATAAAATATTAACTCATCACCATCAGCTTTAACAAATCTATACGACACTAAAAAAATTCCAACTGGATATTTTTGATGTATCCATCCTATCTTCATCATTTGAATCTTTTTTTAAAATACTCGTATCTTTTTTATATTCCCTGTAGCTAGAAGAAGCTACAATTAAAAGAATGGACAAAGATGCAGAAGCATTGAAGGCGGCCAGAGCAGAACTCTGTGAAGCGAGACGGCAGTGGCACCACATGCAGATCGAAATCGAATCTCTCCATGCTGTGGTAAGCATCATAAAATGAAACTTGAAATCTCCTGGGAAAAAAAAAAAAAATCTTCTTGAATCTGCCACAACGCAGCAGAAATAAAACACACAGAGAAGTGCACAGCTTTGCCGTGGACTTCCAGCTCGTCACACAGAGCACTGGCCAACGAGCAAGAACCAGCCACTTGCTCACATCTGAGTATCGCATGGTTTGAGTCGGGATCCACCGTTCAATATACACGTTTTTATGTTCTCATGCCTGCCAAACACATATTTGCATGATACCCCCTCATCAAGCTCCTGGTCGTTCTGCCTAACCAATCCATGTCAGGTTTGTAACTTTTTTTGGAACGCGTGGGCCAAATTTATCCATTCACTCAGGATAAAATATGTGAGCAATTTACTGAACTCAGTAATACAGGCGAGCTACAAGAGCACACAGACCGCTCAGTTTTCATACAGCACTGAGCTGGGTGTCATTTTAACCGTACGGGTAAAACCAGAGATCTGTAAAATCAGTGGTACTGGATTGCTGGTACAACAGGAGGCTGCAATTTTTTATCCTATCTTAAATTATGACAGATTTTACTGCAAAATTTCTCCGCGAAAGCATTCTCTTGAAAGCTTTACTCCTGTTCCTAAAGAATATTCTTTAAAGAACTGACGTAAAAATACACTGATTGTGAATGAGAAGTATGTCTAACATCTTGACACATACTTTCCAAATCTTAAAATATGAGTTCAATTTCACAGGAAAAGGGTTTGGAACGTTCACTGCGTGCCACAGAGCGGCAGTACCACATGCAGCTGCAAAATTTAGAAGCCGAGATTGAATGCTTAGAGAAAGAGCTACTGGAAGTGAGAAGAGGTATTGGGAAGCAGCTTCGAGAGCATGAAATTCTCCTGAACACCAGGATGAAACTAGAGGAGGAGATAGCCACATACCGCAGCCTGCTTGAGCAAGAAGAGAACAGGTACTTGTTGTTTAGAGAAAAAAGCATTCAAATTTACCCTTTCAGGACTCTTTGAAATCATCATCAGAACTCTGAATACACAAACCAATCATTAAAAAATGACAGCGTGAAATCCTTAGAGGTGGTTTCATTGTAACTTCGCCGATTCCACACTTTCTGGAGCTCAGGGTACCTCCACAATGCGCCGCAGCTAGCAGCACGCTTCCGCATCCTCGCTCGGACACGGCACGTGGGCGTGGGTGTTGTACCCTAGTAGTGCCTGACGTGGGTTTGCTTTGTCTCAGACCACTGATGAAGCAAGTCCACAGGTGCGACGCTGTGGGAGGGGAGCTCACGTGCCCCTCGGGACAGAGGGCCATTCGCACGGGGAGCTCCCGCTGCTCCGCGCCATGCGGCGCGCGTTCCAGCCCACGAGGATGCTGTTTCAGAACGTGTTCCAGTGACATTTGCCTTGGCTGTAACTCTTCGCGTCTGCCCTTTCCCTGGCACACAAAGCCCCGTATTTGGAGTTGCAGACATGAGAGAGGCAGCTATACAAATGTCAACAAGGAGAGTCAGGAAAAGGCAAAACACCACATCTCGCACTCAGCACCGGTCACCAAACCAGGCACGCGATTCTGAAGTCTTTCGGTGGAATGTTGCCTCCCTCAGCCCTCTAGAGAAAATGTAGAGTTTCTGGCCTTGAGTAAGAAGATTCTAGACAGGGGAGTCATTTTCCCACTTAATGCTTCTAACTCTGTGAAAATAAACGCACACAATTCACTACTGATACAGAATTCTTCCTAGCACACAACAAACCAACTAAAAACTGTCCAAAAATGACGATGAAATTGCACAGATATTTTCAGTAACTTTCTCCAGTTCTATACTCAGAAGGAGAAGTCCTACCAAATAGTTACTACCATCAGACAGAACTTCTAGTAAGTTTTGGATTAAAGTAATTCAGTATTATTGGATGACTCTTAATAATGTTTATTTTTGCAGGTTTCGTTGCTCTACACCTGACCAGAAGGCTGACAAAAAGCCTACCACTAGCAAGATCGCCTTTACGCTGCCTTCAAGTGAGTTTTTAGACGCTTCCCCCTTAGGGGATTCTGGCCCCAAAGGAGGTTTTTAACTACTGACAAATTACTGGATATTATAAAAGGATCTTCATCCAACGCAGCAGGAGGAAAAATACCTCCAGGTCCTGTGCCCTGACCTTATTCTTCTGCATACCTAGTACATCTGCATTTTCTTTGACAGATGGTGTAAAGAAGGATGAAACTGAGAAGGTGGAACTGATGACAAAACAAGCCGTCCTCGATGGAAATGTTACGAAGGAAAGCGCCGAAGCTCATGGCACTGTACAGTAAGTTAAACACAATTTTGACAGAATAACGACTGAAAGTAAATAGTGGGCATTACACGACAGCAGCTTTGCGTTCTCCTTTCTTCTGTATCTGTTATCTCATGCCCATACAGCCAAGAAGCTCCAGAACAGTGAGAGTTGTTGAAGATATATTATTGCATGGCAGATTTTAACAATACATTAAACCTTAAAAGTTCTTTTTATTACAGCATTTACTTCCTAAGCTAACAATATCACGTGGATGCTTCTGATTTGTAATTTCTATTTCTGCTAAGAATGAAACTATGAATAATTCATGCAGTTAAGGTTGAAAGCAAAAGAGTCCGTACCATGTTTGCGCAGTCCCCCTCCCCGGGGTGTATTTATGCACATAAATTCAGGCTTGGCTGCTCTAACTTGCTATTTGGAAACTCCTACGTTTCACCAATTACCGAACAGGGAACGGAGAGCCTGGCTCCCGAGTGGACATGTGAAAGTCTGGTAGTATATACTCTTCACCTTAATTACTTTAATAGTAGTGGATTGCCTCATGCTCTTTAAGCTCTTTGGTAGACTAGCATTTGGACATTTAAACAAATTGTAGTGCACCGTGTCACTCGTACTCAACTGTCATCAGCCATTGAAAGTGTGTAGAAACTCGGATTAAAAATTAATGCCATCATGGGGTCCACCACAGACATTCCAGAGCTGAAGCGTGTCTTCCTACACGAGCGTTGCTCATCTGACGCAGGCACTCTGATTGCCACGGGGCTCCTTGCTGGGTACAGTTTACTCCACCTGAGTGAGGCCTCCCCCAAGTCGGACTTTTAGACCTGGATCCTGACACATAAAGGATTAAATCAATAGCATTTGGGTGCATAAATATTATTGAATCAGCTGGGGGGTTGATTCTCTGTATTTTACTTCCGTCCTTTTTCTCTTTTTTCATTTAATGTGTATCTACATTCTGACGTTTGGATCTGAACTAGATTTTTTTGCTCCCTGTTTCGAAGGCTTTGAGACGCAGGAATTCCGTCCTGCCCATTCTACTACAGAGGTTTCTTGCAAAGTTTTTGAGCTTGGATTCCAAACTTTCTCCTTGGAAACAAACTGCCTGATGTGTTTGGAGCAGTGGTGTCGTATCCATGTCAACTTAGAAGTACAAAAACAAAAATATAATGAACCCCCTCGCCCTTTATTTAGCTTTTCTGGAGAATCAGTCTGTGGAAAAAAAAGAAAAATTAGAGTGTCCCAGTACCCATCTAGAATAACTTGACACTTTATCCTGCAATTTCTCTCTCATTTTAAAAGCGGTCCCGAAAGCAGATAATTCATATTGCCTAAAGCATCATAAATACATTTGCTTTATTGTTTCAGGACAGAAAAAGTGGATGAAGTCATTAAAGAATGGGAAGGTTCTTTCTTTAAGGACAACCCTCGCTTAAGGAAAAAATCGGTTTCATTGCGCTTTGATCTGCACCTCGCAGCAATGGATGAAGGATGTTTGCACGCTAAAAAGAAAACTCTTCCTGACATTGAAGTCAGGCTGGTAATGAGGAGATCTTGCAGTATTCCTTCTATCAAACCTTAACCTACGGCAAATTAACCCAAAGTTCATCTCCAACAGGCTCTGGAAATAGACTGTAGGTGGACTTAACATGGCCTGCTGTCTTGCTACAACTACAAAATCTTACTGAGTACTTTAATTAATACAATAAAAACATACAGGTCTTTTAAAAGAAAGGGAAAAGAGCAAGGGCGTTAAGATTCCAAGAAACCTAACTTCTACTAGTTTTATACTCTGGGTGCAGCCCTTTAGTTTTCTCATTATTGTTGTTGTTTTCTAGACTTTCACCAAATACGACAAAAATTAAACTGTAACTTTATACTTTGACATATTCTGCCTTTGTAGAAGAGAATTTGTTTTCTCCTTCTGGAAATGAGAAATGCGTAATTCATTCTCTTAATTATTCAATATTGCATATATTAAATGACTGATGAATCCTTGTAATAATTTATAACACAACTGTCATACTTCTTGAAATATATTTTAAAATATCACTTTCTAAACAGCAAAAATAACGTACAAAGATGCTCTTAAACCACATAAACTTAACAAAGAATCTTGTTTTAAAAGTGGCTGGTATTTTTTAATCAATTTTTTTAGGCAACAGCTGAGCAAAGATGTCTTTCCCTTACATAATTATACACACATTTTTTAAAAGTCTTGTTATGAACAAATAATACTTTTGCCATATTGTTCCACTGATTTTGAAGCAGGAATTTCCACTGAAAATCAATCATTCTCTTACGTGTCCACGTGTATCCGTACTACAACTTTCTTAGCCATAGCAAGAAAAATCATACACTTCAATTGTTCAAATGTAAGGTGTCAACCGACCATTTCAGTGCTTGTATTTAATGGATTTTGTTTATTATAACTATGTGAATTAAAATATCTTCAACAAATTCCTCTTCTGACAAATATTATAAGTTATGCTCTTGATCTAGTGCGCATAAACAGTCACTGTTATACCAGGGTACAACTATGATTCCTTCAAATTAAATGGACAGAATAAGGGCTACATATTCCAAGTAAAATTCTACCATACGCATGAAGCATCCCCCACTACTACTCAAAGTAGCTACGGGCAAATGCAAAGTACAATAAATGATCTTGCATCAGTACACAGAAAAAAAACAGAAATACCAAATTTAGGCGAACTTCTTTATGAGACAAATTTCAAACAGAAAATTCAAACAAAATCATATTAATATCAGAACGATTGTTTATGAGAGTTTTTAAGAGGTGTGGATGTCACGAACTCTCGCCAAAATCATTGGGATTGCAGGAGCTCAGAATCTAGAAAAGCCATGGACCGTATTTCCTGGATTCACAGCAGCATGTAAAGATTAAGTGTCAGTATTTGCCTTATTACTTACGGCATGTGTTACAAAGACTGGTACTACAAATTCTCTCCGTGTTTAAGTTACGCTTCTATCTTTTGTTAATGCTGAGAACAATGCATTTAGAGTGCCCACCGTTCTGTATCTACGGTATGAAGCTGGCTAATTATCATTAACCTTAATACTGACCTGGTGTTGTTAATACTTGAGTATTTGGCATCCTGAATGTATTAGCCTGCTCTAGTATTTTCACTATGCAGCTTTTTTTGTGCTTATACTCTGTACATTTTACAATACTTGAATTAAACTAAGTTTTAATTGCTTTAAGGCACTTCAAACAGGGATACTAATTTACCAAAGTAAAATGATAGTACTACAATAAAAAAGGTTGAAAATTGAGTTTGCCCATGCGTATTTTGTGAGTTTTAATGTGTTTACCTTAAAAAGACACAACAGAGAAATACAAAAGGGAAGTTGTGAATAAGAGAAAAACTGTAGCACTGCAACCAAGCGTTTTCTAAGATCTCCTCTACAATAAGACACAAAATCACTAAGAATCTCTATCACAACATGCGAGTGTCCTCCTGCTAAAAAAATTACTTTTTTTCTGGTAAATCCAGTAACCCTGACTAGATCTGTAACCATCTGCAAACATCTGATGTAAAAGTGAGTTTCACTGTCTCAACCACCTTTCCAATGAATATACGTCCTCATTACAAAGCTTAGGGAACTGTTGCTAATTAAAACAGTTGGATAAGAGCTAATTATTTAGAGCCCCCTGGTTAGTACGGTGAAGTATAAACAATCCTGTTAAAACTACTTATGTCACTCAGTATATTAAAAAATGTACACAGGCAGAATGTTTCGCTATCACAACATGGAAATTAGGCAAATAGCAAAGTAAAAAAAACAAAAAAAAACAACAACAAAAAAGGAATACATTGCTGGCTTTGAAAAATAACAATTAGCATGGAAAGTGAGTATCAGTAAATGCACTTGAACACCACAATAAATATTTCAATAAGCTGCAGAAAGCTAGCATTTAATGTTATCGACATTAAGAGCGTTTTAACACTAGCAACAAAATCAAATTATTAATAAACTACAGATGAATGCATGAAGCCGTCAAAACCGGGGGGGGGAAAGTCTTTTGTCACTTTAACAACTATTTTCTCACATTTTCTTTACAAATGTTCTGCCCAGGTGAAACTGTAGCCTGAAGAGAGGTGTGGCTGGCTGGCTGGCTGAGGAATCTTCTCTATCCTTACATTCTTTTTATTATCAAATCGAAGGCACAGATTATTGTGCTGCATGTCAATAAATTTCCATTGTGCCCACAGACAGCACGCTGCGGGCAGATGAGGGCAGAGTCCTCGTCTTTATTTGTTTGTAAAAATGTGCTCGTTTAAGAGCAAAAGCAAACTGGGCTAGACAGACTGTAGGCATCAAGAATAAATGGGTTTAACTTGCAGCGAGCCAGTGTCACATTCAGTTAGCTTTCCTTTGTTTCCCCTTCTGCTGTCCTTTTGGGTTAGGTGAGTATCATCTATCCCGTTCAAAAAAATCAGGTGTTTCCACTACCTTCTCATGTTTGGCCTTCCTTCAGCTGCCAGTCACCAGATCCAGCAAAATCCTCCTTTATGGATGCTGGAAATGCATCTTATTAGCCACATGGCAGTATTTCAATACCGAGGTTTACGTTTTCATTTTTAATTCAGTCACTTGAACGATTTTCACTGTATAAAGAACTATAGACTCCTACACCGAATGCTGAGGTCTGAAATTCTTCATCACCCTCACACACTCAGAGCCACGTGGTGTTGTACGTTTGCAAGCTTTTTACCTCCGTGTGTGACACCTTCACAAATTTCTGCAAGAAATTGTTCCAGCCAATTCCACTGCTCCCAGGGTACTCTGTCATTCGTAACTCTCTGTGCTAAGCGTTTGATTAAATTCAAAATTACCATCCACACAGATTTAAAACCCTGGGTGGCCCCCGTTGCTCATTCCCCCAGCCCGGGCTGACCCGCTTCTGATGGCGCCGCTTCCTCCTCGCATCCTCCCGCCAGAGCCAGGGCCGCATCCCGCTCCCGCTCAACCTCTTTTGGAGGCGTTGCCCTTCCCAAGCCGCCATTTCAGCGCCGCCCTGCCCGCTCGACGCGAGGGACCCCCCAGCCCTGCCAGGGCCGCTGCCCTGACTCTACCGCCTGCCTTTACGGGATTTATTCAGGCGCAGAGGCTCCACCGCGGCCCTCTCGCCTCCCGGGTGTCACCGAAAACCGGGATAAAAACTTATCGACACCGATACGATGCAGATAAGCAGACGCTTCTTTATCAACGGCCGGACGCGTAGGGGAGCGCTCTCACCGACAACACGTGCCGGGCACCAGAATCATACACCTTCTACAGAACTTACTCATACATATTCATTAAGTATTCATGCATAAACATACAACTTCCAAGAACTCATGAACATATTCTCCTATTTCCGATTCTGCGCAGTAAAGGTTAGAGACGGCTCTGGGGTGTAACGGGAGCAGGCGGGCCACGGGTCGGTGGTCGCCATCTCCCCCAGCCGCCATTACCTTCTGCTTAAGGACACCGCTACGGTCACTTCCCTCAGTTCCCGTTAATCCTGGACCTTGACAACTACCTGCACTCTTCTAGTCCTCTGTGTGCGCCATCAATCCGTTCGCAAACCGTCCCGTGTTTTGTTACCTCGGCTCCCACCGCTCCTACAACGACGGCCAATCCCTCCGGCCTTGGCACGGGCTGCGCAGGGGATTTTAGAGCAGCCGTCTGTTGCCAGATTCAAAACCCAATAAATTTAAAATAAATGATTTTTACTGAAGCGTCCCTTCATTCTACACTTGTGTTAAAATCGAACACGATTTCATCTCAGTTGATGACAAACTCGGCACCAGGGGCCCGAGGCGGCGCCGCGCGCTCCCCCTGAGGGGAAAAAGGCGCCAAACGGCGGCGAGGCGCCGGCGGCCTCCGCCCCCCCCC